TTAAAGTGTCTTCTGCCTTTGGTATAGTTTTTCTGTACTGAAAAGCACTTTTGCATCTTTCTTCATGGAAGGACTGGAAGTGACACAGTGCCATGGTTTAGTTGACATGGTCATGTTTGGTCATAGCTTGGACTTGATGATCTCAGAGGTCTTTTCCAACCTAATTGATTCTGTGGTCCAATGTAAATGTGCAGAGCTCCCCCTCTCCTCACCAGTATGTGTGAGTAGTTGTTTCAGAATGCATTACATCTGTGGGCATTTAATATTACACACTCCACAGCTGTAGTTTTGATGTTTATTACAGGTGGTCATAGATTGTTGATGCACCACCCTTTGGCTTTTGTTTGTATATTCAAAGATGATCAGAGTCTGCAGCTTTCAGTATTTAAAATACAGAAGTTTTAAAAGCCTGATGTACTTGGTTACCAGAGAAGTTTCCTAGACTTGAAACAGGACCCACAATCAGTAGCCCAGCATCAGGGGTGTAGCTTGGCCTGTTTCCAGAAGATTGGGATAAGTGCTTTGATAGCTTGACATCAAAGCTGTCTCAGCAGTTTGCTTTTAAACTTTCCTGCAGGTGATCTTTGACTTTGTTCCAGCACATACTTTTAATAATACTTTTAATGGAGAGAGAGAGAGAGAGACTTTTCTAGCCTAGAACTCCCATATGAGATGAGTAAGTTGCTAGTCAGGGCTCTTCTCTGGGGGATCCTGCTGGTAATCAGTTGATTTTGAGGTCCCTGATTAGCAGTTTTTATTTAAAAAAATAAAGATGTGACGTATTGCCAAGTTTTTTTAAAAAGGTATTAAAAGAATTGAAAAAAAGAATCCTGTAAAGGGAAAGCATTTCCTTACCTAATAGTAATGTAAGAGCTGTAATTCCCCTCATGTCTCCTCAGTTCCCCTTAATGTCTTTCGCAAACAAGCTGAATACAGAATAGAATTTATTTACATTCATTTTGTGAGCACGCCAGCAAAAAAGCTCATGCAAAGTGTTTCCAATGTTGTTTGTATACTCAGTGTCTTAACCTGGCTGAGTGAGTTGGGAGAAAAGAAAAATTCTTGTATATTATTGTTCTTTCCATTTATGCATGTTACTTTCTTTGGGCATCATATGTGAGAACCACTTCCTGACCTTTATGTAATCAGCCAGTGTTATTTCAGTAAAAAGATACATCATTGTTTATGCATGTAAAATTACCTGTATTTGTCTAGAGGATTAAAATCTCACTATACAAAACATTACCTGAGGTGATTCCTGTGAGCAGAGTTTTCCAAAGGTTTCAGTGGAGCATCAGGTGTTATGTTTTCATTTCCATTTCCTCCTTTTTCTTACTCTTTTTTTATCCCTTATCCATCCTTTTAATTTCATGGTGAACAGTAGTTATTTCAGAATTCTTTTGTACAAGTCTGGTTAGCTGTACAATGTTTTTGGTGCACAGCATAATAATTGCATGCTTTAAAGATTAGTTCAGATTTATAACTTATGTTGATTGAGGCCTGTATAATAGTTTAATTCAAGGAACTCCTCAGGCAATTAGAGACGATGGATTTTCTGTTTATTAAAAGATCTGCAAATAACAGAGCTGGTCTCACCATGCACAATACGAGGTTAAAGTTTTTATGTTTTGTTAATTGTATTTTACACCTGGTGAAAAGCATTTATTTGAGCATGAATTGGGATATTCATGCAGATAACACAAAATAAATTGTATTTTTCCTGATAATCCCCAGGCTATTCATGCATAGACCTGGTTTATGTTTAATGTTAAGTGCCTGTGACTGGTTTGCAACATCTTGGTATTTGGACAGTTGGGGTTTTTTTGATGTAAACAATGTCTGGGTGGGCAAAACCCGTGTTAGATGAAATTTATAAACTCTAAATATTGTTTCATGTGGGTGAGATTTTTACTTTTTGTAATGTATCCCCCAGTCATTGAGGAGACTGGCACAGTGTGTGTTTTGAATGTTTGACTAGTCTGATTATTGCATGCACACAGAATTTTCACCAAGTAAAGCACCAGAAATTTTTTCATTTAAATATTTTGGCTAAGTGAAGGGTGATAGAAGGTGGCAATAGCAAAAAAATCCAGATCTACTGAAAGACTTAAGACTCTAACTTCACATAGATAAATAAATTGTAGTTTCACTTATAAATCAAGGTGGATTACATCCTGTTGAAAGATTAATTATTGTGTCAGTTTTTAAGAAAAGTCAGTGACCTGGTGGTGATGCTTCCATCTGTCCCCTTGCTGCATGGCACACCACGAGGCATGCACAGCCACAGTGCAGGTCCTCAGCTGGCTGAAGCAAATATCAGATTGCCCCTACTGACAAGGGGGTCCTACTGCTGTTTCCTTGTTTTTATTCTGAGCTGTGGCACTTTTGTCAGTTTTGCTTTATGGTCCAGTTGGGTCTACTTTGTTTTTGTGGTTGATTTTCATCCACCATTAGCAAAAGGAATTGACTTGTGGGAATACCGGTGTAAGGATGATGGCTAAGTGATTTGGAGCGGGGATCACCCAAATCCACGTTTTTATACTGTGAAGAGATTGGTTTAATCTGATCATGAAACTCGGATTGTGTCGTTGCAATAACACAGCCGTTCCAAACCGGTGTAAATTTCATCCAAGGGCCGGATCTGACTCTGCTGGTTCTGACATCTGTGGGGTTATTGACCTTGGCTTTCAGCCAGTGCATTCCCAGACCGAGGTTACTGCGGGACAGTGTGAGCGCTGGAGAGAGGAGGAACAAAGGAGCGGGGGTGGGACTGTTCCTCACGTGGCACTGTGGTGTTTTATCAGATTCGAGTGTAACCACGGGTGAAGACAATTTCGGGTGTATTTTGAAAATTGGGAGGGAGTTGACACGTCATTTACGGAAGTTCCAGGGATCTAAGGGATGCCTAGACATCTTGGTGTTTGGTCCATGGTACTTGTGAGTGCCTAATCCTATAATAGAGTATGTTTAAGATATTGGAATAAATATTTAGTACTTGCCATGTCTATACCTTGGGCAGAGTATACCCAGAAATGCAAGTACATGTTGCATTGTGTCTCCTGTCAGCGTTGTTTTTGTCACGTTAACAGAAGCCTTTCAGCAAAGGAGAGTGTACTTCGAGCTCTGGAAGGGCTTTTTGAGGCAGTTTAAAATTACACTGTCAGATGTTATCTTAGGCTCTCAGAATGTGGATCTGTACCTTTCCAGATGCAGTCTAAACTCATCAGTCTTAAAACTCCCAGAGGAGGTGATGAATTTTGTACTCGTTTATCTAAGTGGGTGTTTGTTTCCTTGGTTCTGCTGTGGGAGGTGTTAACATAGCCGAGGAGCAAAGTGAAAAGCAAAGTGGTTTCTTAAACCCCCACAGAATGGTTTGGTGGTGGTCCTTGGATATCACAGGTGACTGTGAAACATAAATCATATATTGTAAAGATAAGTCCTTAAGATATCTGAATTTTTTTATAGTATGTGCTTCAGTTGCATTCTGCAGGTTACCAAGGTCAATCCTCTGTTATCAATTATAGTTTTGGAATGAATTTACAGTTAATAGTAACTTGTGGCTGCCTTCTAGGGAGGGGATTGAGGGATAATAGGACAAGAATTGAACATGATATCATAATGAATCATCACGGAGCACACTGGTGCCAATGGAGCTTAAGAGTTGTGGCAAGTGTATGAAGTCTACAGCAACAAACATTTGTTGTTTCATAACAGGCTGGGACTCAGATTGCTAAAAACACATTGTTTTACAGCCAGTTACAAAAACAATTTGTTCACTGATTTTTTCAGCATGGCCACTTTCAAACTTTTTCTTTAGTATTCAGATGCACATGTTAGAGTTTTCCAGGGGTGATTTGATTTTAAAGTTTGAATATTTTTCGTATGAAATAAATGACTCAGGGCCCACTGTTACTAAGAGTATGGGTAATATGAAGCATGTTGTTCTTAAACATGGATTTCACGTGGAAACATAAATTTTTGAATTAGCTTTCACTTGTTCTGTTTTTATCTGTCATCTCTTGGCAGATTTCTTCACTGTCCATCCAAAAGGTTTTTGTTTTGCTCACTTAGTGCAGGAAAGAAAATAGTCTGTCTAAAATGGAACATGCTGTATTTTATTAGTATATTTAAAGCTTTGCTTTGATTTGCATGTGAAATAATATGGAATGCAAAAAATTATTTTTTTAATGTTAAAAGCTTTAGTCTTAAGGCATTTTTGTGCAGACTGTAAGTGAATTTTTTATTAAATAAACAATTGTGTGGAAAAAAACCCCCAAAAATATAAAACCTTCTTTCCTTGAAACCAGTGTAAAAACTTTGTACTTCACTAGAATTAATATTTACAAGATGAACTCCTCAGAGAGTCTGTGCCTAAAAACAGCAGAATGCTATTGGAGTATTTCCATTTGTGGGAGGAGAGAAGAATTAAATTTCAGAAGTAATAAAGTAAAATATCTAAAACTCTAGGCAGAAATGGGAAAATTTAGAATTTGTCCTAAGTGATAATTATAAGAACAACAAAAAATTCATAAATACAAAGCAAGAGTTCACAGAATGGTGGGAAGAGAAACATTTATAGTAAGCTTCTTTATTTGTTAAAAATACAAATATTGTTCCTAAAATAAACTGTCTTTGGTGAAAGGCAAAACATCTGTATCCCATATAGTTTGTAGTGACAAAATGAACACCAAGTTTTTTTTGTTCTTATTTTTCATGGTATTTTTTCAATGTACAGCAGTAAAAGCCTGTACCTGTTACAGCTTTTAAAAGCCAATAACTTAGGTTTATCTTTTCTTGGAGTTTTGATAGTAGTAGTATCAACTATTATTTTAGTAGTATTCAATCAATTCTAAAGCACTAAAAAATTCTAGAATTCTTTAATTGTATTATATAATTTTCTTTTTCAGCTCAGAAGATAAAATAACTGTTCATTTCATAAACCGCGATGGTGACAAACTAACAGCCAAGGGAAAACCTGGGGATTCACTGCTGGATGTTGTTGTTGACAATAATCTCGACATAGATGGTTTTGGTAAGTAAATTAATTGAATATTTTATTCAGTGTCTAGAAATTATGTTCTCTTTATGCATAAATATTTATAGTATCATTTAGATTGGAAAAGATCATTGAGTCCAACTGTAAATTAATATTTTATAGATAAAACCTAGCTATACTTTGCTTCGATTTTCTCCCCTTTTTTTCTTTCTGTAGGTGAATAGAATATTTTGGTTCAAGTTTCAAAGAAATACTTGGGATGATCTTGGCTTGAGTATTAAAGAGATGAATATGCACAGAGTACTGTCAAAGTGGAGTCTGAAACATGCCACTTGCAGACCTCTTCTGAGCTGAAAGGTTCTGTTCTGGAGGAAACACAGAGCTGGTGTATTTCTATCAGTGTCTGGTTACTTCTGTAGCACCAGACTGTTTCAATTTATTATCAGGCTTTTTGTACCACTATATCTATAACTGAGGAGTGCAAAGTGAAAGAAACAACCAAAATCAGTGTCAGTTAGCAGGGAAGAGCAAAGAGTTTAATTCTTATTAAAGAACTGGTGTAAAGGAGACCTTGTGAAATTCTAACTTGATACAAGTTCTGTTTGGAATCATAACAAGAGGCAGTTACGACTTCTCTCTATTTCTTCAAACTTTTGCACTTTCCATAGTTAGAAATGTAGGATGGTTTGGTTTGGAAGGCACCTTGAAGACCAGTTCCAAACCCTCCCTGTCATGGGCATCTTCCACCAGCCTTTGTTGCTCAAACCACTAGACCACATTGCTCAAAGGTATTAGGTAATTGCAATTAAATACTCTGGGAAGGTATTTATATGAACATGAGCTGTAAAATTAATAGAGCTAAAGCAGAAAGTGGTAGTACAGTTTTCAGAACTGAATGCATGTGAAGCAATTGGTGAAAAAAAAACCCAGCAGAGTGTTGTAGCAGTTTGAAATTTGATGTGTTTTAGTTATGTGCAAATAAATTTTATTACTAGTAATAAATTCTTTGATAATATTTAAAATCTTATATTTAGTATCTAAGACATCTTTTATGTCTGGAGTTGAATATATCTGGAGAAGAAAAATTGTCTCAAATTTGTAATGCCTTTAACTAGCTTTATGTATCACTTATTAAATGACTCATTTAGGCTTATGGCTGGTCTGCTTATATTCTGCAGTAACTGTTCTCTGTGTCAACATCAGCTGTGTTTAAAGCATTGTGGTAAAGTGGGAAAAAGCAATGGTGTCAATGAAAGGAAGCCAAACCAAAAATTTGGAATACTGTAACAGTCTTTAATTATAATATGTGCTAGTCCCATTTTAATAACCACTTGCTAATGAAACATTGTACTGGGACAGAGAAATAATGTAGTAAAAATGTATGTTCTGTGTTCAAGAAAAAAGTAATGAGGGAAAAGTAAGGTGTAAATCCTGCTTATTTGCTTCTATCACTAGGGGGCATCCCATGTGCATTAACAATAATAGAAATAACTGTGTAAAGGGTTAGATCTATTGAGTGATTCAGCTGCACTCAATTTGTTTGTTATTGCCAGTTTTATGATTGTGGAAAGACCTTCCACTGTTCAAAGAGACTGGTCAGTATTCTTCCCCCCTCACTCCTTCCCTCACTTCCCGATCCTTAAGCTGCTGATATGACGAATTTTATGTTTGGCACTTTAATTAAACTCTACTTTTTCATGTGTATTTGAATACATATATAATTTAAAAATCAAATGTATTACCATGTCCTGATCACTTTGAATATATGCTTTTGGTACTCTTGCAGCACAGTGCTTTCTGGTTCTCATGGTCTAATGATGAGTCCCACTATTTCTTTTTGTAGCAGTGGTTGTACATACAACCTTTCTTCCTTTATTTCCATATGATTACAAAGGTGATGTGGTCACAATATTTTTGGTTTTGCTCTCCCTAGAAATAAGTAAATAAGTGAAGATTGGCTAATGTGTTATCTGTTTCTTTTCTATAAATCTAAATTAGAGCCTGAGGTTTCTAATCTCTACAGTATTTAGCTTTCCCTTTCTTCCTGATGTTGCATATTTCTTTTTCAACACTGTGGAGAGCTTGGTGCCAGCCCAAGACACAGCCCAATTCAGTGACAGAAACAAATTTTTTTGAGTTCAAACTTCTACTGTGCTGTGGTGACCTAATTGCTGTAGCAGGTAGGTGGAGTTGGTGCTTGTGCTACTCTGCCCCAGCAACTTGTTAGGTCCTTGACTCGCACTGAAACACTTCATAATCCATGTAAGCCACCTCTCTCCAGCCTGACTACCCTTGTTGCTGTGAATTAGTAGAGTGAGAAGAAATAGGTATAAAATCCCACCTCCCTGTAGTTCTAAGTAATTGTTTTTGTGTAGCAGGTGTCTGCTGTTGAACTTTTAGAGAAAACCTTCTCAAAACCATGGGAAAGAGAGAGATAAGAAGGATCAGCATTGGAAATAAATGAAGTAGTGTTGACTGACAGCATTGTCTGCTTTTGCATTCTTGTAGTAGAAAGCTATTCTTTCTTTAAATGGTGGAAAGAGAATTACTTAAGCATTTTTTAACTGATTACTTAGCACTAAGATTTACTTAAATGCTATAGTAATTGTAGAAATGCTATTATACTACTATATAACTATATAATATAACTACTATTAATAGTTGAATACAGAGTAGGTATATGAATGTGGAAATACACAGAACATTAATTTTGCTGATCAACTGAGACTTCTTGTATGAAACAAACATATGCAGGATTTCTTCTGAAATTCAGCTGCAATTTGAAACTTGGATTTTTTTTTTATCTTGATTTACTTTTCTTTAGGTGCATGTGAAGGAACGCTAGCCTGTTCAACTTGTCATTTAATATTTGAAGACCACATATTTGAGAAACTAGATGCAATTACTGATGAAGAGATGGACATGCTGGACCTGGCATATGGCCTCACAGAAACGTAAGGCAACATGACACTTTCCTACATTACTTCTCCAAGAATGGGAAGAAAGGTTTGCAGATGCGGCAGTCCAATGTTCTTGGAGCACCTCAATCAGCTTTTAATGAATAGCTGGATTCTGTTACACAAATGGGACTGCCATGTTTAAATGTTGTTTGTCTGAATTAGTATTAAAAAGATGTCAGTATTGTTTTTGTCACTGAAAAATGTCAGTTGCCAGTACTTGGTCTTCAGAGGGGTCTGGTGCAGAAATGTTAGCTCTAAAGTGTGACTGGAAACCCAGTTGTTTTCACAAAAGCTCTGCCACTGCTGTCCTGTGTGTGGATTTTCTTATTCTTGTTTCTCTTGGACCCTTCTGTTTTCTCTCCCTTGTTAGTCTGTAGCTAGTTAATGTATTTTATGAATGTGTTTGTCAGTATTTTAGGTTTTGGTCAGATCTTCTTTTCACAGAGTCACAGAAGGGTTGAGGTTGGAGGGGACCTCTTGAGGTCAACTGGTCCAGCCCCCTGCTTAAGCAGGACCACCTAGATCTGATGCCCAGCACCATGTCCTGACAGCTTTTGAATCTGTCCAAGGATAGAGACTCCACCTTCTCCAGCCTCTCTGGTATTTATGTACATTGCTATTATCCTTCCTTCAAGCCTTCTCTAGGACAAATAGTATAGAGATATGTCAGTGTACAAACTTGCTATGCTTTGACTCATATCACAGTGCTCCTTGTGCACACAAACCAGATTCCCTTTGGGAGAAACTGATCCTGAAGAGTGCTCTAACTGCTGGTAGGTATTAGGATTAGAATAGAGGTACTCTAAAGTAAAGCTCTGTTCTGCATCATGCCCACTACCACACATCTTGTAGTTAGGATGTTAATCCTCATCACAGACCCTGATTCCACAGATTCCTGGTGGGCTGTGGTACTTGCCGGTGCACAAGTAGCCTTTATCACAGAACATGCTCACACGGACAGTAGGCAACTTGCCTTATGAGGCTTCCTAAGCCCTTTCCTTCGTGTTTCAGCAGAACTGCTTGTTGAAGTCTTTGAGAATCTTTCCAATTATGTTCTGTATAGCATAGAGTTTGTCTCTGCAAAGAAGTACTCTGAATTAATTTGTCATCTCCTTATATCAGTAAAAGGAATCCTATACTCATTTCTACACGACAATACACTTTCTCACTTCAGCCAAATCTGAACATTTGTGGGAGGTTGGAAAGGCAAAGAAATCAAGCTACAAGAAACTTACAGCTTCTTTTGTTTTATCATTTTTCCTGTCTCACAAAAACTCATTCTCAGTTTTGAAAAAAACAGAACATAAGCCTGTTAAGCCTGGGACCTACCATAATAAAGAGTAACTTCTGGGTTCAGGGCCAGAATAATTCCTGAATATGAGGCATATGATCTAATAAAAAACTTTTTCTTTGGCTACCTTTTAAGTAAAGGTATAAAGCAAGGAGATTTTACTGAAGAACTGGAAAATAGTAGCACGCCAGAGCTCTCTGTTTAAATGTTTCTATTTTCCCCTCTAAGTTCTTCATAGCAAATTAAGTTTTACACCCTCTGAAGGTGTTTGGTACTTCTGTTAGGTTTTTCTAGTGTCACATATTCTTCCTGTGGCCAGGGACCTTCCATTTATGTGAGAGAATGGCTCTTTTGAAAGACAGAGCTTTAAGTAGCTGATATTTGCTGCAGGTTAACTGGACTCCTGTGCTGATGTAAATTTGAGTAACGGAGATGAACTTCTATGTTCTGTCATAGGTACAAGCATAGCAGCTTATTCTTGTTAGTGACTCTGTACTAGGAAAAGTTTCAGCCAGCAACTGCCATGAAAGCTCATGTTTTTTAAAAAGAAGGATTAATTAGGTTAAAATGAAATTGTTCTGATTAATTGCATAACAGTAGAAAGTAGTAAGACAGGGGATTGCAAGCCCTGGTAAGTTAAAATAAGAATAGTAAAGCAAAAAATAAGATGAGAAACAGCTTGCAAAAAGTAGGCAAATATTTTTGTTTCTAACCTATCAGAAACAAGGAACTCTGTCTACATGCAGAGCCAGTGGGTGATGTAGGAAGTGCATGTAAAATAGAAAAAGATAACATGAAAGCAAAGTTTCTTTTTCATTGTTATCTCTGGAGGTTTTATGGGCTATAAAACCTGGAAGGTTTCTTCGCAGAGGGCATCTTGACTTATTCTGTGGTCTTTCAAACTGATGTGTCCACAGAAGTAGTATTACTGCAGATAAATAAACTGAGTGGTAACAAATAGTAATGGCCAGGTAGTATTCACCCAGGAGCTCTACAGAAATTCAGTGACATTTCTGAACTGCTGTGTGTAAGGTTTAATTAGTTGGTTTGAAATTGCTTCCACATTAAAGGACTAGGAAGGTGGGAACTCAGTTTTTAAAATGAGATTCAACATTTTAAAGTGAGATTTGGACCTGAAGAACACTTGTCATTCTGTGAGCTGTTTCTAGTCTATACTGTCTGCTATGGGTAAGGAAAGAATTCAACAGAGCTTTTGTAGAGGGATGAAGCAGATATGGAAATTCTTCATATAAGTCACTGTGATGAAAGATCTTGCAGTTCATGCAGTTTATTTAGGTCTAGAAATTGTTTGCTAAACTTTGAGGTGCAATAGCATAAGAACAAAGGCCCTGTAAAGGCTAAGAAATTGGTTAAAAAAACCCAGCCATCTTTTAACAAGAAGTATTAAGCTGCCTGGTAAGAGTATGTGATCAACAGCATGATGTAAAAGTGATTTGTGCCAGGTTTTAATTAGTGTGAGCATCCTTTTGAAAGACTTAGGAAAACACAGGGAGGAGTAAGGTTTGTTTACAGTGATGTGGTCATATCACCTGCCTGTGAAAACATGCACAAGGGTTTTATGCTCTTGAGCAATAGAAAATGGCATTTGGAGTTAAAAGGCAAGTGCAGATAAATGCATATGGAGAGGTGGATAAAAGAGTGGCAACTTTACATTCTTGAAACAGGCTGTCAGCTAGCTAAGTGTCTTGCCAGGGACCGGTGCTACAGAACATTGCCCATCCTTGCTGATGTCTTTAGTATTCTGTACTTAAATACTGAGACATGGACATCGAATTAAAGTTACCCCAGCAATAAAAGCAGCTTGTGATGTCTGCAGAGTTTTGTTGTGGTACTAAATCTTCTGGTTTTAATTGCTTGTGTGCAACATCTGGTTTTCTCATGCTGAATGATAGGTATAGAAATGAAAGACAACATCTCCTCCAGTGCCTTGAGTGTTCTATCCTTCTCCTTCCCATGTTTCTTGTCTTTTCACTTTACTTTCCTGGCTTACACCCAGTCTTGGCTTTTGTTGTTGGAGAACATTGAGCTCTGGATGGAGGGGGCCAGGCTTTGCTTTCTCTGAGGCTTTCATTCAGATTCATTGCCTTTATCTCTTCAGAGGTGCCAGATGTCCCTTGAGAGATCAAGCATCACTCCCTGCACTGGAGTGACCTCAGTGACCCACTGAAAAGGGAAGGGTCACCCATGTTCTGCATTGTCTCAGTGAGCAGGAAGTACTCAGCTGTGGGACTTTGCAGTGTGCCGAGCTCTGTTCTGGCTGTAAATCCTGGCTATTGCCACACAGTTCCTTGTGCTGATGCACGTGGTTCACTCCTGTGCTGGATTAAGGCCCTGCACAAGAGTGGCTGTTCCTAGTTCATGGTCAGTTTGGGGTGGCTGAGTGTTGGAAATGTAAGAGGGTAAATGCTGTTAGATTGCTGGTGGGCAAGAACTAACAATAATGTCCTGTTTCCCCACAGATCACGTTTAGGCTGTCAAATCTGCTTGAAGAAATCAATGAATGATATGACTGTTCGAGTACCAGAAGCTGTGGCTGATGCTAGACAATCAGTAGATATGAGTAAAAACTCCTAAAAAAAATATCCTAGGGGTTTTATAAAAGCTTAATTATTTTTATAACTTATTTTTAAATGTGTAATTAAATATGGAAATTTACATAATTGTGAGTTATTTTATATGACTATCAATATTAGATTAATGCTATTTTAATTTTCTTTATAGAACCTCTTATATTTTTACGCTTAAAATGCAATAATACTTCTTATAAGTAGTCATTGGATTATAAACATTAGCAAGTGTATTACAGATTTCATATTACATTATTCTGCCAAAACATTTAGTGACATCTAAAAACTGGATCACTTGTACAATACTCCTCCTAAAACAAGCTCTGAGCATTTCTTGGTGTCAGACCTGAATGTTTAAGAGAAAAAAAACTTGTAGGACTGCATGGGGTCTTTTTGAAGTGTTGCCATTAAAGATGGTATGCTCAGAGCTGATCAAAATTCTCAGTAAATATGATACTTTCTCAGCAAATAGTGGATTTTCAGGATAGGAATTTTCCAAATTTTGGAATCTCAATGAGATGTGGCAAATGTTGTCTTGTGAAAATTATGCTAAACCCATGAGTTCTAGGAGCTGTGTTATGGTTTAACCCAGCAGGCAGCTAAACGCCACTTAACCATTGACTTGCACCCCACCACTGCCCACCCCCCTTCCAGATGGGATGGAGGGATAGACTTGGAGGGGAAAAAAGGTGACATTCATGTGTTAGACAGTTTAATAGGACAGAAGAGAAAGGAAAAAAACAGTAATAATGACAAAATACATAAAACAAGTGAGGCACAACACAATTGCCTACCACCTGATGACTGATGCCCAGCCAGTTTCTGAGCAATGACCCCCAGCCAACTTTTGCCCCAGTTGATATTTTGAGCATGACACCATATACTCTGGGACCTCCTGCTGGTCACTTGGGGTCAGCTGTCCTGGCTGTGTCCCCTCTCAATTCCTTGTACAGCCCCACAAGGTGAGGTGAGAATCTGAAAAGGCCTTCACTTGGTTGTTGCTAAGCTGTGTTTACATTTAAACACCAGTGTGTTACAAACATTATTCTGATTCTAAATAAAAAACAGCACTGTACCAGCTACTGGGAAGAAAATTAGCTCTCTCCCAGGTGAAACCAGGAGAGGCTGATGCAGGATGTTGGCACCTGCAGCTTAACCCTGGCCCAAATCAGATGTGAGTAAACCTCAACAATATTTACATTTGACTACACCACAAATATTGGGATAGACCAGGCTTAGAAGAATGAATTCTTGGAGCTGTGTAATGGGAGAACATACCCAGTGGAATTACAGCTTACCCATCGCAAACTCTCACTGTCCTCTAAAATATGGCTGAGTTTGGATTGAACAGGGCAATGTTTGTTGACATCAGATTTGTTCTGAAATCTTTATCCCTTTTTAGTTTAGAGCTTGTACAGGTGGCAGTTTGATGTTAGTTAGGCTGTTCAGCTTGGAAAGATTGCTTGATTCTGGGCCTTGCTCACAGAATCATTTCAGTAACAGTTGGTGTGAAATGACCAAGTATATTTGTTTCATGAAAATGGCCTAGGTTCCCCAGAAGGTACAGGGAAACCCCTGTGGGGAGGTGGTATCTGCATTGATGATGAAGAGCTTTCAGTTGAATACTGTTTTACTCTTTCAAAAGTAGCCCAAATAAAACAATGTTTCTAAGATTATTATTCTCTCCAACTTACATACTACTTACATGAACTGGTTATCACCAGTAGTTGTTAAATTTAATTTTTTTTGCATTTATATATATATGTATATATATATAAACCATGTTTGTTTACATTTGAATGATCTAATGCATTCATTAATGCTTTGTTTGAACTGGTAACAATGACATCTATACATCTTTTCTTGCATATATGGGAGGAGATAAAAGTTATTTTTCCAGTGTCAAATATTGGGAATATTTTGAGTTTCATAAAGAGGGAGAAAAAAGTTCCTCTTTGTTATAAAAATTAATATTTTCTAGAACTATATTAAAAATAGATATGGGTCAGATTCTTTTATTTTCTTTCTTAGTTACCTAATTTCTTTCTGTTACCTTTCAATTTTGTCGCAATGCAAGGTATACTACTTGTGGTCTGCTCAAAACTTAATCACGTAGGGGTTTCAGAATACGCTTCTGATGTCATCTGATTAAAACAGACTTCAGAATTAAAATTACAAGGCTTTTATGGAAGGGCAGAGAGAGGAAGGTCAGGGAGAAGGGGAGGCATACACTGAAGGAATGTCCTGAAGATGCTGCTGTTTTTTTTTACATGAGACAGCTTATCAGCTTCCAAGAGAAGGAACTTTGGTCATAACCAGATGTGTTGTGCATTTGTACATCAGAAAGAAATATGAGGTTTCAGTATACCTGTGAGGTATAAGGGTAGATGTTGATATTTATTGAGTTTTGGGCTCTTGACTTTTTGCTTTGGGTTTATGGTATTTTTTTTCATACAGCACCAGGTACTTCTTGTGAGAATCTTGAAGTGCTTAACACTGTGTTAAACAAATGTGGAACAGCTCCCAAGTGAGTTTTCTTTCTAAGCCAAGGTGGTTTTGTTGTGTGTTTCCTGTGACAGCTTCTCATTACAAAGACTTTGACTCTCCTATAGTGTGCCTGTGGAATGAATTTCTCAGCACAGCAAGGCAAAAAAGGACACTTCGAAGTTCATTTTGAATTCTAGAGGTATCCCATACTGCATGCAAATGGAAATCTCGGAACACAAAGGAACTGACTTGTAGTCCCCAAAATGCACAACTCAGAGATACTAGTTTATTGTCAAAGTGATTTGAAAATAAATCTTATTTTTAACCTCTTTCTGACACCTTGTTTTATGGATTTTTCTTTTCTTCTCTAAGCTATTGAATGTATTTCTGGGTGAAAAATGGAACTTGCCCATTAATGGTACACTTTAAAGTGCAAGTATGAATTCTTGTGCAGTGACACACAATTACAGCATCAAAATTAGTTGAATATGTTTACTTCCCTGTTCAAATAAAGATTACAGGTAATTTGCTTTCTAAAACCATTTCCTTTCTCTGTTAAAAGATGGGGTCAGTGGGTTTCTTCTGTCTCTCCCCCCTCAAAAATGAGGAGCAAATCAAAACTGACTGTTTCCTTTTGTGTATTAAACTAAACTTTAGAAGCATACTCTAAGTCTGGGGCTGGCACAGACCTTTACTTCACAAACAGTGGGGGTATGGTGGGTTGCATTGTCTTCTGTTGCTTCTGTTCCTGTAAGAAGGTCCTTTGGATTGGGTTGTGTTTGTGAGAAAGTCAGGCCAAAACCATCCCTTTGCCTGTTCAAGAGTGTGGGGGAGCTTGTGTGTGGCTCTAGACTATATCCCTTCCCTCTACTGCCCTAAACTGCAGTCAGGCCCAAGCCAGCAGTCCCACCTGTGGCATTTTGTGTGCTTGTATGGTGTCTGAAGGGGAAAGAGGGGTGTGCCTTGCATTCCCATACCACCACTTCTTGATATGTCAAAAGTTCCCATTATCTGGACTGCAGGGTGTCATGAGAGTGAAAAAGGCAAATTCTCTAGGTAGTTTATGGCTTCTCAGACAAGAACTAAATCTTGAAAGTTCATTATTTTTGGCTATGGGGCTCCAAAAGATTTTAGACAGTCATGTCCAAACCTACTTCACATCCCTGTAGGAGGTATGTTGAAAAGGCTGTGTCCAAAAAAGCTGCAGGGAAGAGGCAGTGCTTGCCCTGCTCACAGGTCCAGGCTGGAGTGTAGGGGAGATTTCCTGCAGCCTGTGTTTTGCCTTTGCAAGGGACAATGTGGTATACCAAGATAGGGTATACAAAAAAATCCTTGTTCTTTGGGAGAAAAAAGGAGAAATAAATCTTTAAAGGAGGAGATGCTCAAGGTGAGTCAGTGAGTTATCAAATAGTAGCACTGGGAAGAGTACAGCTGCTTGAGATGGTTTCTCCTCAAGTGATCTGCAAAAATGTGGGAGTGGGAATTTCCTGCATCATGGCTGGGGCTGTGGCCTCTCAGGGTGGCCATGTAGATCCATGTCCTGCTGTGGACTGCGGTGCCTTGGTGTTTTCTCTCCCTGTTGCACTGCCAGGAGAGTGCCAAGAGGCACAGTCCATCCATAAGCAAACAGGCATTAAAAGCATAAACAATGACATTAAAAGTAACCCTGAGATTTACTTTTTGATCCATTGGCCAACACTTGCTTTTTATGGAGTTAAACAGAGGTTTTTGATGTGAAGTCTAAATTTCAAAATGTCTTTCAATTTCTAGCTGGCAGTGGTTTAGTATTTGCAGCTTCAACTCATCATCAAAAAGCTGTTGGTTTATTGTGCTCGGCCAATAAAGTACAGTCTCTGGGGCTGCCCTTCGCAGTTCTGGAAGCTCCCTTGACCCCAGCCAGGAAAAGGCCATTCCATGCATTTACACTGGCCCTGTGTTTCCAAGTGCTCAGGTCCAGCCGGCACCGTGCTCCCTGTGCTTACCCCCTTCCACAGCGCTGTGCCTCCGCCCCGAACCGGCACTACCCGTGAGACTGGCGGCTTCCTATGACAAACCTGGGAGCAGCCCCTTCAGGAGCCTCTGGTGGGACCCTGCTTGTCTGCTTCCATGTCTTGGTGGCAGTGATCCATCAATCACATACCCTAACACCACTCAGCGCTGGACATTTGTGCTCCTGGTTTCTCCAGCACCGCTGCAGAGCGTGCATTACACGGGAGAAGTGGTAACAACTGGGAATGCTGTGCCATGTTAAGTAACCTCTTCCAGATACTCCAGGGAAGTCTGCAAGCACCCGTGGCAGCTGTACCTGCTTGCAACTGTGACTGATTTGGTTCTCCTCCTGTTGGCAGCAGTCTGCCACTGGCAGCAGGTGGGCTGAAATCTCTGGATTTGGAGAAGTCTGCCATCTCACTGAAGGAAATACCAAGCCATAGACAACATTCCTCCTTCAGGATGTGTTTGGTTAAAAGTGCCTCTCTTTAAGGATCCGGTTTTGGATCAAATATTCAGGTAAGTTGGATGTTCCTCTATCCAAGTGCATTTGAGCAGACTCAGAGGCAGGTTAGCAGCTCATTTTCGTTTTACTCTACGAGGAACAGCCCTGCTTTGCATAGGGAAACTCGTATTAGCTTTTGATATGGTGACTGCTCACAGGCTTTACTGGGAATGTCTGGGAAGAAGAAGGGCATTCCCTTCCTAGAAAACTGACTGGAGGGAAAAAGAGGAGACCGGACACAAGATCACAGTGATGCAGCTGCAGCTTCTCAGATCCAGGAGAGAGACAGACATATCCCACCCAGAGAGCAAGCAACAGGTTTTGGCTGCAGATTAAAGGAGAAGGTGTCATTTCAGAGGAATGTTTAGCAACAGATGAAAATAGCCATAAAAGAAAACAAATGGTGTCACAGAGACAAGGAATATGGTAGCTCAGAGTGATGGGGAAGC